TCTCTCTCTCTCTCTTTACACACATACAGACACAGACTCCAGTGATCCTCAGTGATATTAATAACAAGAATGTCCATGTTGTCGTGCCGTGTGTTGTGTTTGTTGGCCATTGTGCTCTGCTGTGTGGGTGTGGCTCATGCTGATCCTGCTCTTCCTTCACAGTTGGTGGAGGAAGCAAAAACATTGGCTGAAGAAACTTCTAAACTTAAGGTGGAGTGCGACAACGCCGCCAAGGCTGCTCGACAGGCCGCGAATGAAGCTTTTGTATTTGCTCATGTCACTAAGACTAATCTCGTAACAATTGCTGCTGACCCAAACGAGGTGGAGAAAACGAAGAGTGAAGGTCTTAAATTTATTGAAAATACAACGAAGGCTGCAGAGGAAGCAGAAAGAGTGCGCGACGAAACTATAACCAGTAAAGATAAAGCGGAAGAGGCAATCTTTCTTGTTTTTCCAGATGCAGTAGATGATGAAACAGTACCGGAAGAAATTGCGCCGTCAATGAATGCAGTTAAAGATGCAGAACGCGCGATTTCTACTGCTAACGATGATATCGGCGCTGCGAAACTTCATGCTGAGGAAGTGAAAAATGTCCTGCAGCAACTCGACGCCGCAGTTGCTGCTGCCAAAGAGAGGGAGAAGGAAAAACAGGTGGAGTCTCAACCACAGCCACAGGAACAGAGAAACGAAACGTCTCTTCCACCCACGAATGCTACAATAACGAATGGCACCAAACGAAATGACGGCAGCAGCAGCCCTGCGTTACTGCGTGTTCCACTCCTGCTGCTGCTGCTCTCTGTGCTCAGCTGCATGGCTGTGTGCTGAGCACTGTGCTGGGGTCCATTCAGAGAGTGTGGGTAATCACTTGTTTACTGTTAATAATAATATAATTGCTACTGTGTTCAGTATACTGAGCACCGAGAAAATTAATCCCGATGACACCCAGTGAGCTAGGGTACATCAATTTGTGTGGAAATATTTAATCTCTTTTCTTTTTTATACTTGTAAGCAGAGCATTGCTGTGGACCTTGTGGTGTGTCTCACTCTGCAATTGTGTGATTCCGGTAAATGATATCTCTTTTCTTTTTTTATTTGCTTTTACATTATATCCGAATGAGGTAACGTTACAGTTTGTTTGTTTGTTCCTATGGGGACACTGCAAATTGTAATGGGGACAGGGAGAAACCAACACAAAGAGAGATTTATACATTATCCGTTATTATTGTTTTTGTGTGTGGCTATCTCTGCAATGTTACCAAATAATATTCAGTTTGTATACAATCATTTATATATAATCTTTTTCTTTTGTGGGATTGGATGATTCTTTATTTTGTTTGAATAATGAGTATTTTCACTAATGTGTCTATTTCATTTACGCTCATGCTTGACTCCATATGTGTGTGTGTGTAGTAATAGCGGTGTACTGGTGTTTTGCTTTCTCTCTCTCTCTCTCTTTACACACATACAGACACAGATTTCAGTGATCCTCAGTGATATTAATAACAAGAATGTCCATGTTGTCGTGCCGTGTGTTGTGTCTGTTGGCCATTGTGCTCTGCTGTGTGG